ATTTAGTGGTACACGACAAACTACTCCTAAAACTAAAATCTTATGGTATCTCTGGACAACTGCATAACTGGATAGAAGCATTCCTGTCAAACAGACAACAAATGGTCAAAATTGGGAGTGTCCTATCAAATTCTGTACATGTCAATAGTGGTGTCCCCCAAGGCAGTGTTCTAGGACCAAGTCTCTTCATATTCTACATAAATGACCTCTGCAATCATATTAAGAGCAACTGCGTTCTCTTCGCTGATGATGTAAAGCTGTTCAATACCACAGACAATACTGCTACCCTTCAAAAAGATATTGACTATGTATCAGAATGGTCAAACAAATGGCAACTTCAAATCTCAACAAATAAATGCTCTGTCTTACATATTGGCAAAAAAAATCAGAAAATAAAATACAAGCTGAATAGTCAAGACCTTGTTGATGATCCAAGCTCCGTAAATGACCTTGGAATACTCATCTCTAATGATCTAAGTGCTAGAGCCCACTGTAACTATATAGCCAAAAAGGCATTAACAGTTGTTAGCCTAATCCTACGTAGCTTTTTCTCTGGTAATATCACACTACTAACTAGAGCATACAAAACATTTGTTAGACCAATACTCGAATACACCTCATCAGTCAGTATATGATATTAGCACAGTTGAGAAAGTCCAGAAATATTTCACAAGAAGAGTTCTCCACTCCTCTACTCGTTGTAGAATACGTTATGCCACCAGACTTGAAATTCTAGACCTAGAAAACCTTCAATTACGCCGTCTTCAGTCTGATCTAAGTATGGTATATAAAATCATACATTGCAATGACTTACCTGTCAATGAATACTTCAGCTTCAACCATAACAACACAAGAGCACACAATAGATACAAACTCAAGGTTAACCGCACCAAACTTGATTGCAGGAAATACGACTTCAGCAACAGAGTGGTCAATGTCTGGAATACTCTACCTGACTCTGGTTTCTTCTCCAAACCCCAAAAACTTTAACCTTAGACTGTCTACTATTGACCTCACCCCTTTCCTAAGAGGTCTTTAGGGGGTGTGCATAAGCGCACCAACGTGCCTACCGTCCCTGTCCTATTGTTTCTTTTTATTTTTCTTATATGTACCCATTTCATGTATTCATAGCTATGTATATACTTATACCTATTATTTTGTTAGCGATTGACAAATAAAAATAAATAAAATAAAAATAAATAAAATAAAATGTTGAGTGGGCAACTCAAACACAATTCTTATTTCTAACTCCCTTGCTCAGTGTCAGTTCAAACACCTTTGCGAGAGTTATTCCTTGCTTCCCTGCATTTGGGAGTGTCAGAGAAGGAGAGGCAGAGAAAAAGAGCTCTTACCAAAAGAATGGCACCCTTATCAACTCCTGCTTCTTAGCTTTTCAATTCCAAAGCTTTAATCTTCATGAAAAGAAAGCAAATAACTAGCAATTACGGAATTACTATTCTCTCCAGGGTTTTAAACACACACACACATACAAATATGGTAGCCATGTAGTGAACACGCAAGCCCAACCTCTGGGAAATAATTTTGTGAAAGCACTGTAACATATTTCCCAAATTTTGAAAGCAGCCTGTCCATAAAAGGCTGTTTTCCCTGAGTGTGTGCACTTTTCTCACCTCTTCATTATAACAGAATAATAGTTAGAAGGGACCTTGGAGGTCTTCTAGACCAACCCCGTTCAAGCAAGAAACCCTATACTATTTCAGATAAATAATTGTCCAATCTCTTCTTATAAACATCCAGTATTGGAGCATTCACAACTTCTGGAGGCAAGTTGTTCCACTGATTAATGGTTTTAACTATCTGGAAATTTCTCCTTAGTTCTAGGTTGCTTCTCTCCTTGATTAGTTTTCATCCATCCATAAGCTGTGCCGATGGCTTTGCATAAATTCTCCTAAATTCAGTTTTTATTGGAAGCCAATTGTTCAGCCGCTTCTCAAAAGTTCAGAATGTGATGTGACAAAATTGCTGTAACATATGATAATAAATCTAATATGCATGAAGAGAAGGATGGCTGCAGGGGTGGGATACAAAAGGGTTAACTACTGGTTAGCCTCATAAATCATCATTAGCACCTGCTGAGAAGCAGCCTTTGAAACAGCCCTCTTTTCTTGTTTTTTTAACTGCAGGTTTGGCAGCTGATGTTGAAAAATCAGGAAATAAAGATCAGGTAAGAGCCCAGGCGGTCGGGTGGGCAAAAACATCAGCAGACACAGAACCGGTTCTATGTCTGCTGCTCTTCAGAACTACCGGTTCTACAGAGGTGGACAGAACCGGTAGAAACCCACCCCTGGATGCCTGCCTTTTATAGGTATTTTAAAGAATACTGTACTTAGATATGCTTTTAATATATAATATCAGGATTGCCAAAATCCAGAGGACTTTTTTTTTTAGGTTTTGCCTTTGGGCAAGTCCCTGCAGTTTTCTTGGCTGGATGCAGAAATGGTTTTCCCTTGCCGCATTTTTCCTAGGGCTGAGAGAGAGAGAGAGAGAGATTGGCCCAAGGTCATCCAGCTGGCTTTGTGCTTAAGGCAGGACTACAACTCAAATCCTCCCCCCCAATGCAATGAAACAAAACAACTGGAATGCATTGGTTGTTTTTTTTTCTAGTAAGGAGTCACCCAGCCATGTTTCTGGGAAATAGTTTAAGTTCACCTCTTGATAATATCAAAGGTGTCTCCGTGTAGTTTGATTGCCAACATTTATGGAAGTGATTAACTACCGTATGGCTGCCTTCCAGGGGATTGTTCAACTTCCTGGTCTAGCCTACAGCCCTGGTTTTTATTGGTGGTTGTCCCATTCAAATGATATTAAATTATTTAAACAAATCAATAAAACAAATATAGGCAGTCCTCGGTTAATGATCACACATTCAACAACCATTCAACGGGATTGAACAAGTGGCCCTTACGACCAGTCCTCAAAGCGGCTGCTGTAGCAGCACCTTCACTGTCACCTGGCCTGCTACCTTACCTGCTGGCTTCCCACAAGTACAGGCAGTCGACTTACAGCCACAATTGAGCCCAAAGGTTATGTTGCTAAGCGAGACAGTCTTTAAATGAGTTTTGCCCCACTTATGACCTTTTTTGCCACAGTGGTTAAGTGAATCACTGCAGTAAGCACAAAAAATTTGTACCAACCGACACACTGTATATAATTTAAAGAGGGTTTTGTAATGTTTATGTCTGTGTAAAAAATAAAAAAAATGTTTATATAAAAAAAACCTGAAGAAGCTTCTTGGATGAGAAGCGAAACGTCTTCAAGCAAAACAAAGAGAGTGCAATTTCAAAAAATACCTTTGGGACAATCATGAGCTATATGGTTGAGAATTTCCATAGATAGACAGATTTTCTAATTTTTCAGTATAGCAGACCAGCTTGCTTGGGGTTACAATTAAAATCAACCTTAAAGGAAAATCCAAGCTACAACTAAGAATGAAACACTACTGATGTGGAGAGCAAATAAGGAAGATGTGCAGCGGGCATTCATGTGTTCCCTGGAGTTGAAAATGGATACAGATAGTCTTTGACTTACAACAGTTCATTTAGTGACCGTTCGGTTACAGCAGCGCTGAAAAAAGTGACTTATGACCATTTTTCACACTTATATCCATTGTGGCATCCCCATGGTCATGTGATCAAAATTCAGGTGCTTGGCAACTGGCATGCATTTATGACAGTTGCCGTGTCCTGGGGCCAAGCCCCCCCCCCCCAAGGTCAAACAACCCTGATGCGGCCCTCTGAAATTGCGACCTTCCGACAAGCAAGTCAATGGGAAAGGCAGATTCACGTAACAACTGGATTTCTAGCTGAATAAATGCAACACTTCACTTAACAAGGATGGCAAGGAAAGCCATAAAATGGGGGCAAAGTTCACTTAACAAATGTTTCACTTAGCAACATAACTTTCAGGCTCAATTGTGGTTGTAAGTTGAGGACTGAGAAGTCCCCATTGAATATGGCAAGTCCCCATTTTCCAGCATAAAGGCAGCTTCCACTGGAGCTGCCTTCCCAGGTGCCAAACTTAGATGTTGAGAGTTTGCAAACACATCTGGGTCAGCCAGACATCCTTCTCTTTCTCAATCAAATCTATGCCTTTAAAACCAAGACAAGGCTGAGAGATCATTCAGTCTTTCTTCCTGCCCAACCTACCTCGCAGGGCCGTTGTGAGGGTCCAAAGGATGCCACAGATCCTTGGAAGGCAACTTATATGTGGCATAAATGCAATTGTACCCATTCATACATCGATAAATGAGCTTTAATCTGTTCCAATGGAAGCAACCCTTATATCTCCATTCATTTGGTTAGGCACTACAGTTCCTTTCCTTTCCTTCATTCCCTTCCCTTCCATCTTCCCTTTCCTTCCTACTTCCTTTCTCTCCATTTTTCCTTTCCTCCTTTTCCCTTCGTTTCCTTTCCTTCTTTCCTCCTTTCCCTTCCCTTCCCTCTTCCCTTTCCTTCCTACTTTTCTTTCTCTCCTCCATTTTTCCTTTCCCTCCTTTCCTTTCCTTCTTTCCTCCTTTCCCTTACCTCTTTCCTTCCTACTTTCCTTTCTCTTCTCCATTTTTCCTTTCCTTTTCCTCCTTTCCCTCTTTCCTTTCCTTCCTATTTTCCTTTCTCTCCTCCATTTTTCCTTTCCTTTTCCTCCTTTCCCTTCCCTCTTTCCTTTCCTTCCTATTTTCCTTTCTCTCCTCCATTTTTCCTTTCCTTTCCCCCCCTTTCCCTTCGTTCCCTTTCCCTCCGCGTCTTCGTCAGCTCCGCGCCCTTCGCGCCACGCCAAGTTCACCCGGCAGCCACGCCGGAGGCCGGCGCCCGCATGGGCGTGAAAGGCGTGAGAGAGCTGGCGAGGGGCTCGCCTCGTTCCCGGCGCCGGCCAGCAGAGGTCTCTGCCTCTCTCCGGAGGAGGAGCCGCTGCTTAGCGGCTTTCTCCCTCCGCGCGTTGGGGGCTGCGCTTTTAACTTCAGATGCTTCCGACTCCATTGTGGTTTGCGATCCGGCCGCCGCCGCCGCTCCTCCGAGCTGGATCTCCCTTTCTCGTCTTGCAAGGGATATAAGAGCGGCCGTCTCTTCTTTGTCTTTCCCGGCTGCCCTGGGCGTTGGGCGGCACCAGCTGGGGGCCTCCCCCCCTGAAGCCCCGAGGACGGACCCCGCGGCTGCCCTGGGGTGCATATAAGCGGGAGCTTCCAGGTAAAAATGAATGGAGCGATCCCGGGGGGCGCACGAGGAAGGCAGCGGGGGAGGCGGTGCGGTGCGGGCTCCGCTCCGCAGGGTCGTCGAGGGGGCGGGCAGGTTTTCCGAGAAAAAGCCTTTGCAAAAGCGGGCGGCAGAGCTGCGGGGGATCCATTTTCTGCCTCAGCTTCCCAGTCCTCTCTCGGTTTAGCCTTCCGGCGCCCCCCCCCCCTTCCCCAAAGGCGGTGCAACTTTTCTGGGGCCCCCAAATAGACGGCCTTAGAGGGTGGGGTTCAACCTAAGGATTCGTTCATATTTGGGGGTGGGTGGGGGTGGCGGAGGATATGCCTCCCTCTCCCGCTTGGCCCTGGGGGTGGGTTGTTGTGTGGAATGATTGTCCCGGGTATCAATTAGGCGTGTTCCCCCCCCCCCCGCCGCCCCCCAAAAGGAAAATGGCTTGGTTCCCTTTTTTAAAAAAAAATTGCATTGGCTTCGATGGAGGCCTGGGCTCTCCGTTTGAAATTCTATCCCCCGCCTCCCCCAGCATTCAGATCTGGGTTGTGGTTGCGGATTGGCGGGGGGGGGGGGGGGGGGGGGGGGGGGGGGGGAGGACGGAATGCTTTGCACACGCTCAGAGGAACTCTCCGGGTTCCAGCCAGGCTCTCATTTGAATTTTAATAGCTTTCTTTGGGATTCAGAGGTGGAGGTGTGGGGGAGGGCTTAAAGGGGTTTGATTGTTTAATTTTTATGAATCGCTGTCTGCATCCGCCTACGTTTTTAGACAGTCCTTGTTAAGCTCTGCTAATGGAGTAAGAAGGAGAAGGCCACAAATAAAAAGGAGGAAGGGAGGAAAACGAGAGAGCCGGTAAATACCCACACTTATTCCAAAAAAAAAACAAAAAACACGTTATGAATGGCCAAGTCTGCTTATTATTCAGACTAATTTTGAAGTTTAAAATTTGGGGTCCTTCAGGGCTTTTCCCTGGGGGGGGGGGGGGGTAAAATCTGGCTTGCTGCTGAAATCGGGAAGCCTCTATCTGGTTGCAGCCTTGAGAATAGAGGTGTTGGAGGAAATGATAAATATAATTGGATAAAGGGCCCGTTTAGTACCATGCAGTTTGCCCCAAGGAATGCTGGGATAGAAAGAATGAATGGCTGTTCCCTTTTAAAGAAAATCCAGCAAATTTACCTCCATATTGAAGTGAAATCTTAATTGATCACTGTAGACAAGACTCCTGCTTGCTTTTGAGCTAAATAAATGTCTCTTATTCTTACTGCATCTTGCCTGCAAGGATTTAAGGGTGTGAATTGGATTAAGAAGGGTGCGGTAGTTTTCTTCGCTTTGCAACAGTCCTGTGAGGTAGGTGAGTGCAGGAGGCAGTGTTCAATCCAAGATTATGACCTGCGAAGGTAGCCTCTACCTGCAGAAATTTCCCAAGGCCCTCTGAATGAAAGCAATTTCCTCAGAGGATGTCCATTTCTTCCAAGCAGAGGGCTTTATGAGGAACAGCTGCCTTTGTGGCTTCAGTAATGAGAATTTTTTTTTCCTCCCCTTTACTGAGCATCCAGATTAAGTCAAAAGCTTACCTATTTATGATGGTTGCAATGTCCTAGGATCATGTGATCAATTTTTTGTGACCTTCTGAGAAGCAAAGTCAATGAGGAAGCTAGATTCGCTTAATAACCATGTTACTAACTTAACAACTGCAGTGATTCACTTAACTGTGGAAAGAAAAGTGATAAAATGGGGCAAAGCGCACTTAGTGACTATCTCACTTAAGAACACAAATTTGGGACCCAACCGTGCTTGTAAGTCAAGGACTACTTACATAGATTTTCCCCAATAAAAAGGCTGGGAAATAACAGGGTTGTGCCTTGTTCTCTGCCCCGGATCATCTCCAGATGATAGGTAGAACCACAAGACCCATCTTCATTGAACAATCTCTGCAAGCCTTGATTAAACCAGGTTTAATGGTAGAAGTGGCCTTTGAGAAAGATCTGAAAGAAGAATGAGTGTGAACTCAGCCTGACATCTATTTATTTTATATATCAAGTTTGGAGATGGCCCATTAATTAATGTAGAGGTAGTCCTTAATCAGCCCATCATTTCTGTTGCTAAGCAAGGCAATTGTGCCCCATTTTGCAAACCTATTTGCCACTGACGTAAAACAAATCACTGCGGTTGTTTAGTGAATCATGCAGTCATTAAGTGAAACTGGCTTCCCCCATTGACTTTGCTTGCCGGAAGGTTACAAATAGTGATTACGTGACCTCGGGATAGTACGACGGTCATAAATACATGTCAGTTGCCAAGGGACTGAATTTTGAACAAGTGACTGGGGATGCTGCAATGGTGGTAAGTGAAAACCAATAAGTCACTGTTTTCAATGCTGTTGTAACTTCAGATGGTCACTAAACAAATGGTTCTAAGTCGAGGACTATCAGTATTTTCATGTGTGTTTCACAGATTTTCTCATTTTTCAAATAGAATACCTGTAGCTCGGGGTTGACATGAGGGGTCCTTGTTGCTCTCTGAGCTTGGTGGTTTTCTTGTGGATGTTTCATTACTCAACTACCGTGTTTCTCATATAATAAGGCCGGCTCTTTTTTTTTTTTGAGCCCCGAAAAAATGGCTAGGCTGTCTTTTCAGGGGTGACTTAATTCCCCCCCTTGCATCTTTGGGCGGGCAGCGACGGCTTGGATGTTGACCTCGGTGTTGGTGGGGCACTTCGTGCTGGGGTCAACGCAGGCAGCACCAAATCTGGGTGTGCAACAAAAGTACTTCCTAATGGCAAGCCATTAGGGAAGTGGTGGGGGGACCATTCCCCCCGTTTTGCATGTTTTAATATAGGCCTTAATTTGGGGGGAGGGGCTTAATTTCATTTCATGCCTATAAAACATGCTGGGACTTCCTATTGGGGGAGGCCATATTGTTGGAGAAACAGGGTAGGTAACACCATCAGTGCTGGAAGGGAGTAGGGCCTATGTTTGTACACAGTGGTTTACCCTTCCAGTTTCATTTTTGCCTCTCATTTTTTCCTGCAGGGCTGGTGGTCCATTGGTGGGATAGTTGTAGTCCAAAATAGGTGGAGGTCACGATATAACCAGATTATTGTCCTTTTGAGGAAGAAAGGTGAATTTCCTGAGAGGATTCAGATATGGAGTTAGAGTGGTGCGGTGGCTTAGAGGTGGAGTTCTTGCTTCACAATCAGGAGGCTGTGAGTTCAATCCTAGGTAGAGGCAGATATTTCTCTGGGCATGTTGAGAATATATCTACTGACTAGAACTCTGCATTGGTGACAGGAAGGGCATCTGGCCAGTAAACACTCAGCTCCATTCAATTGCCCAGAATTCACCTGCAAGGGATTATGGGGTCATAAAAAGGAGATGATGATTCAGGTGTAGATTGAGGCATCTGCAGCAACATAATGCCTCTCTTCTCTTATCTAAGTTTTTTTTTTTATTTAACAAGCAGGATAAGGACTGGCCCTACTGTATAAAAAGTGTGTGGGGAGTTTGGTGTCTAGAAGGCCATTTTTATGAAAGCTCTGCACTATTTTTCCCCAACATCCAGATATTTTTCCTGCAAAGACAACCAGCTACTTCAGAAGAAAATGGCCCAGGCACATTCTGCACAGGTAAATCCGTGACAAATGTAGACAGATGGAGAGAGAACTTTATTTTGGTCACTGACCAATAAAAATACAGTCAATAAAATGAACAACACAAAACTATCCCCTAACAACAAGAACTGTTAGCAACCATTTTGAGGCAACACAAAACTATCCCCTAACAACAAGAACTGTTAGCAACCATTTTGAGGCATGTAGCAAAATTGTGCTACTTTTAGAGAAATGAAATATATCTTGATTATTTAACACATAGTGCAAATAAAAGCTATCGGAGTACAAATAGTAGTGAATGTCCCTATAGAACTTTTGCAGTACATAGACTGTGTTATTTATTAAATTTGTATACTACTCACCTCACTATTAGAGTGACCCTGGGTGGCCTATAGAACCAGTTTGATCTAATGGTTAATGCACCAGGTTAGAAATTGGAGATCATGAGTTCAAGTCCCACCTTAGCTATGAAAGCCAGCTGGCTGACCTCGGGCCAGTCACACAACTCTCAGCCCAATTCACCTCACAGGGTTGTTGTGGGGAAAATAGGAGTTGGATATGTTCACTCCTTGAGTTATTTGTAAAAAAAAAAAGATATGAATGGATGAATGAATTACATAATACAAAATGATTGTTTGTTAGGGTTGTGGTGTATTCTTAACCAATAGATGAAGATATATGTTCACTGGAGCGCTGTTGGGTGAATGGCTAGAGGGAGGATGACTTTCCCTTGCTCTAGACCTTTGCAAACAATCCTATTTTTCCCCTTTCCTTTATTTAGATCCAGCAGGATCTCTTAGGCTCTGATCAAGAAAGACTCTACAGAGAAGTGATGAAAGAGAGTTATAACACCATCTTCAGAGGTGAGACGGCTCTTAACCTGTTCTTTTTGTTGTTTGTAGCACCATAAACATAAACTGCCTTTGCATTTGAATATCTTAGCAAAGAAAACCAGAGAGGTTGCGCATGAGACCATCAGAGTTAAATTTAATTGGGGAATGTGTTTACCTCCTTAAGTAATTTGACCAAAAAATAAAATTTATGACATTCAATTAATCTAACTCTCAGGGTTTGTAGAAGAGGTAATAATCATTGGGTAGGTTCAGATATTGAGATAAATCACATTTATTTAATAAACTATAACTGAACCGCTGTTATCATTAAGCCTAAGGCATGGTATTCAAGCTATAATTGCCAGGTGGGCATAAAATACCAATGCCAGAATAAAATACATTTTAAGAAATCATTTTGACTTGATCGTTGTGCAAACTCAATTACTTTGTCTTCCTAAGAAATAGCCTTACATCTGTTTGAAAAATGTGGTTTCAGATTGAAGAACTTAATCTAAGTGGATTTTTTTAGCCTCTATTTAGGATTTTTTTTAGATCTCGGAGGTTCTTGGCAAATCATGCAGTATGCTATTGCTATATGCCAAAAAATTTGAATTATCAGCAGCCAAATACATTCTAGCCAAGTTAGTTGTTTCATTGCCTGGAATGTGTAATGCAGCTCAGTGCATTCAGATAGTCCAGGGGTGTCAAATTTAAGCCAGTGGGGTGCTTATATCTGGCCTGTGGGACCACCCTGGAAACAGTGAAGTACTGGACCCACGGTGCCTCTGCCAGTGAAAATGGAGCTCAGGAAGGCAGCTCTCCCAAGCTCTGTTTTCGCTGGCAGAGGGTTGCAGGAGGCTGTCACAGCCGAAAACGGAGCTCGGGAGCCTGTTTTCACTGGCAGAGTGCTTGGGCCACTACCGGCGCCCCTGACACAAGGGCCGTGGCGCTGGCCCCCCCCCCCCCCCCCCCCCCAAGCCCCCCCCCCCCCCAAGGTCAAACAACCCTGGTGCGGCCCTCTGAAATTGAATTTGACACCCCTGAGATAGCCCTTGACTTACAACAGTTTGTGTAGTGACTAAAGTAACTTATGACCATTTCCACACAACTGTTGTCAGCGTTCCAGCGAACCTCCACTCCAACCAATAACTCCGAGACAGACATCTCAAAAGTTCCTTTTATTTTGGATAGTAACTGGCACAACTGGGGAATCCCGAATCTGAAAATTCCGGGCTTCCTTGCAATAAGTAACTACAAATGCATTCCCTTAACACCCATCATCACATTACATGTCCCAATCACCACCCATCCCAACTTAAGACTTCCCCATACTTATGTGCTAACATGACCTTGAATTAGAAAAAGAATGTTGTTATGCCTAACTACATACACGCCAAGAAATTTCCCCCTCCCACTTTCCCAGGCTCAAAATGTGGCAGCATGGGAGCATCTGGTCTCAGTATGGCTTCCAAAGCTGGCAACTGTTGTGGCATCCCTATGGTCACATGATCAAAATTCAGATGCTTGACAACTGGTTCATACTTATGACGGTTGCAGTGTCCCGAGGCCATGTTACTAACTTTAACAACTGCAGTGATTCACTTAATAACTTTGCAACAAAGGTCGTAAAATGGGGTAAAAGTCATTTGGGCTCAGTTGTGGCCATAAGGCAAGGACTACCTATATTTGAGGGTGGGGGGAGTAATTGGCATTCCAATATAATTGAGGGCCTCCTCTCAGTTGATTGGGTGAGTTTTGAAAATATGCAATCATTTGCATATAAGAAAATACTAGAAAGGGAAGATTTACATTCTTAAACTTGTTTTGCTGGGTAACAACATTTAATGGAGTCATTCTTTCTGATGTCTATAGACCTGCATGTATGTACAGTATATCTTTCAGGATTTGTCTTCTTCCATGTTGGCCAGAGAGAAATAGAAGCATTCTTTTGCCCCCTACCTTGGATTGGTAGGAGACTGAAAGCCAGTACATTGTGGGAAGTTCAGGGAGCTGGCCTGGGTTGCGGGAGAGCCAGGTTCAAGTTTTTATTTTCCCATGGAAGTTCACTGAGATAGTGACACTTTCTCAAGCTAGGATTGTTGTAGAGATGAAAATGAAGTGTTGTGCCATGCGTATTGCCTTGAACTCTTTAGAGGTGGAGAAAAGGTGAGATATAAAGCAAAGGTGTAAAAGTTTCCCTATCAGTCATTTCTGTTTCTTGATTGTGAGAGAACCAGCGTTGTCTGAAGACATTTTCTGTGGTAATGTGGTCAGCATGGCTATATGCCAAACGCACATACATGGAACACTGTTAACCTTCCCACCAAAGTGGTACCTATTTATCTACTCGCATTTGCATGATTTTGAACTGCTAGATGGGCAGGAGCTGGAACAAGGAACGGGAACTCTCACCTCATCACGTGGTGCTCGGGTCTCAAACCCAGGCTGTCAGCTTTCCAGCTGACAAGCTCAATGTCTTTAACTGTTGAGCCGTCGCGCCCCCTGATATGAAGCAAATAATGTAAAAAAATGATGCTTCTATTGCCATCTTTTCGTCTTGCTTGCATGAATGCTCCTGCTTGCTTATACCTTTTCTGCAGCAGAAAAATATATACTTCACTCACCTGCTTCTTCGCTTTCTCTCTCTCTTCCAGCTTCTCCTCTTCAGCTTCAAAAATCTGAACTCCTGGCGCATCTGAAACGAGGACAGGAAGGTCTTCAGAGCTCCAGCAATGGTGCTGATCAAAAACTGGTTAAAGAAGCCCTGAAGAAATGGCCAGAATCAGGAAACTGGTGGAATTCCTACCGGAGTCCCGTGAGCGTGCCCACTTCAGATTCATCGAGTTCAGGTCAGGGTTACCCCTAAATCAGAGGTCTCCAAACTTGGCAACTTTAAGACTTGTGGACTTCAACTCCTAGAATTCTGGGAGTTGAAGTCCACAAGGTTTAAAATTGTCAAGTTTGGAGACCCCGTCCTAAATCTTGGCATCCACGTGGGGGCACCTTTATAGCTTCAAGACATATTCTGTCCTTAAAAATAGCTTCATCTATAGATCCCTACCTACTACATGAAAGTGGCGATAGATATTGCAGAAAGGTTAATCCTTAACTTCCGACCACAATTGAATTGAAAATTTCTACCGCTGAGCAAAACAGTTATTTTCCCATTTTACGATCTTTCTTGCCACAGTTACATGAATCACTGCAGTTAATGACATCATTAAGTGAATCTGGCGGGTCCCATTGACCTTGTTTGTTAGGACGTCACAAAATTGACATTGAGGATCCTGCAACGGACATGAATGTGAAAAACGGCCGTGAGTCACTTTTCAGTGGTGCTGTTGTTACTTTGAATGGTCACTAAAATGAATGGTTGTATGTCGAGGATTATTGTACAGTAGTTAAGGTAGCGGCCTAGAAACTAGAAGATGGTTTAAATTCTGGTCATGACTTAGCCGTGAAAACCGGCTTGGTGACTTTGGGCTGTGACTCTCAGCCCAATTCACCTCACAGGGTTGTTGTGGGTAAAAGGGGGGGGGGGGAGGAGGAGAGTGTTAGCTATATTCTCTGCCTTGAATTATTTATAAAAATAATAAAGACTGGATAAAAATCTAATGAATACTACTTAACTTTAGAATAGAATAGAATAGAATAGAATAGAATAGAATAGAATAGAATAGAATAGAATAGAATAGAATAGAATACTTTATTGGCCAAGTGTGATTGGACACACAAGGAATTTGTCTTGGTGTAAATACTCTCAGTATACATAAAGAAAAGACACATTCGTTAAGAATCAAGAATCATAACGTTCAACACTTAATGATAGTCATAGGGTACAATCAACAATCAAATCATACTAGGAAGCAGTCAATATAAATCGTACGGATACAAGCGACAAAGTTACAGTCCTACAATCACAAGTGGGAGGGGATGGAGTGATGAGAAGATTAACAGTAATAGTAGTGCACACTACTAAATGCACTGGAACTAAGGTCCAGTTCATTTGTTTTCTCTTTTGGTTTTTGGAAACTAGACATCTATTAAATTAATCTAAAATTCCTGCCTTTAAGCGTCAGGATTGATACGGCTGAATAACCTGGAATGTGGCTGTTAAAAGATAAGAAAAATTCTCATAACAGGAATCTTAATTTTGTCTAGCTCAGGGGTGTCCAACTCAGTTTCATTGAGGGCCGCATCAGGATTGTGTTGGACCTTGGGGGGCCGGGGGGACATGGCCAGCTCGACGTCACTCATGTCGGGGGGTGCCTGTGGTAGCCCGAGCGCTTTGCTAGCGAAAATGGGCTCCCAAACTCTGTTTTCGGCTTCTGGTGACCACCTGCAACCCACTGCCGCTGAAAACGGAACTTGGGGGAGTTGCACACAGCCCTCCCAAGCTCTGTTCTTGCTGGCAGAGGCACTGCGGGCAGGTCCTTCGCTGTTTCCAGGACGACCCCACAGGCCAGATCTAAGCCACCCCGTGGGCCGGATCTGCCCCCCCCCCCCCCCCCGGCTTGAGTTTGACACCCCTGGTCTAATGGCTCTTTTTTTTTTTTCTAAATTCAAAGCTCGAGCCTGATTTCATTTTACAATCTGGAACGTGTCCCAATCCATGGTTTTGGTGGTGTGGTGAAATCTCCAGAATGGGGTGTGGTGGTGCTTGAAGTTCAGAGGCTGATTAGCTTGGTATCCCTGCAGGGAAGGCAGAAAGGAGGAATTCCTTATTTGGTTGTTCCCAAGAGCACGCAGGTAGTCCGACGAGATTTTTGTACAGGTAGTTGTGAACAACAGTTCGTTTAGTGACTGTTCAAAGTTACAGTGGCACTAAAAAAGGTAACTTATGACCGTTTTTCACACAACTGTTGCAGCATCCCCAGAGTCACATGGACAAAATTCGGATGGTTGGCAACTGGCATGTGCTTACGACTGTTGCAGTGTCCCAGGGTCATGTGATCCCCTTTTGTGACCTCCTGACAAGCGAAGTCAGTAGGGAAGCCAAATTCACTTTACAACCTGCGTTACTAACTTGACGACTGCGGTGATTCACTTAACAATGGTGGCAAGAAAGGTGGCAAAGTGAGGCAAAAACTCATTTTAACAAGAGAAATCTTGGGCTCAAATGTGCTTGTAAGCCGAGGATCACTTGTAAATAGGGAAGTAGCAGTAAAAGAACGGATCGGCTCGCCATGTCGTTCTGGTTCCTTGCACCTGACATTAATTTTGTCAGACTAATCGCGCTCTCTTGGAAACAGCCAGATATTCCAGAAGATTTTGCAAGTGGGGGTCGGGGAGACTGTCAGGTCTCCGTCGCTTCCTCCCCTGCAAGGATTCCAATAGCAACAGCACTTAGACTTATATACCGCTTCACAGTGCTTTTACAGCCCTCTCTAAACAGTTTACAGAGTCAGCACATTGCCCCCAACAATCTGGCTCCTCATTTTACCCACCTCGGAAGGATGGAAGGCTGAGTCAGCCTTGAGCCTGGGGAGATTCGAACTGCTTGGCAGTCAGCAGGATTAGCCTGCAATACTGCATTGTAACCACTGCGCCACCAAGCTAGCCAACCAAACTCAACTCTACCCTCCGCCTTAAACGGAGATTAGGTGGCATCTCTACTTGGGCTGTCTGGAAACATCCTTTTCTGTTTTTTTCTCCCAGCAGACGACGACGTTGCAAGCGAGAAGGAAGAGGAGGAGAGCATTCCATGGGAGAATCAGCGGATTGCGAAACCTCGTGCTGCTTTGCTAGGCCAATGGGAGAATGTCCAGCGGCAGGGGAAAGCTTGCAAGATTCAGCACGGCTGCCTGCAGGACTCTCGCCCCAGAGTTAATTGTGCTGGCGGAAAAAAGAAAGGCAGCAATAGCCAGCAAGGCATGAATACCGAAGAGAGCCAGAACGAATGCACCGTGTGTGGGAAAAGCTTTGGCAGGAGATCGTCCCTCCTCAGACATTTCAAAGTCCACAGCGGAGACAAGCCTTTTCGATGCTCCGTCTGTGGCAAGTGCTTCCTTGCGAAAACCAGCCTGGTTTTACATAAAGAGAGCATGCATAAAAAACGGCCCCGTTCAGGAAAGAAAAGCTGGGAGTGTCGTGAGTGCGGGCAAAACTTCGCCCGGAAAGCCTTTCTGACGGAGCATCACAAGATGCACAGCAGTGAAAAGACGCACCCGTGCCCTGCCTGTGAGGAAAGCTTCGCAGAAACCAGGAACCTTGTGAAGCATCTTATGACCGCTCACTCGGGGGACCATGTCTTTAAGTGCCCTGTCTGTGGAAAAGGCTTTATGAAGGAGAAGGACCTCGCGAAGCACCAAGCAAAGAACCACGGCAGCAGCTTTTGCTTTCCCAGTCTGGGCAGCGAAAACAGCTGCAAGGAAAAACCATCCTCGATCAAACACAAGAGACTTCATCTGAACCCCGAAACTCTGCCTTGCGCAGCGTACGAAGGAAATGGTGGGGTGGAACGTCCCCTTACCTGCGGTCACTGTGGGAAGTCTTACAAGCAGGAGAAGGCTTTCCTTAACCATCAGAGTGTGTGCATCAGGCCGCAACCAAGCGGCGAAGGAAAAGCCCTCAAGGAAGACAGCCCGCTCACTAAAAACCAGATCACTTACGTGGAAATGAAAGATAACACTTGCTTCGACTGCGGGAAGCCTGTTTGCAAAAGTTCGCTGCTGGCCTCTCAGCCCAAAGCGGACCAGGAAAAGAAGCTTCAGGTGTGCCCTGAATGTGGGGAAAGCTTTAGAGACAGCCAAGGTTTTGCCGACCACCTGAGAAGCCACCCAAAGGCGCCGTCTTCTCAAAACGTCTCGGATTGGGAGGGCCTTGGGGAAAAAACGCCGCCCGTTGTCCAGCCGGTAATGCTGGAGAAGAAAAGCCGCTACGAGTGCCGAGGCTGCAGGCGAGACTACTCGACTCATTATAACCTCAGGAGGCACCAGCGAATCCACGTGGAATGCCGGGTCAGGAGGAACTCCCGCAAGGGGAAGGATGCCGCCCACAGCTGGTTCTTCATGGACTTCCCGAAAGCCCGTAGCAGAGAACAGACCCTTCAGCACAAATGCACCTTCTGTGGGAAAGCCTTCAAAACGAAAAGCACCCTTGGCCGACACCACCAAATCCACATCAAAGGCAAGCCTTACAAATGCACCATCTGCGGGAAAGCCTTCGTCTACCGGTACACCCTCGCTCATCATCAAGAAATCCACCTGGAAGACCAGCTCTACCAGCACAAGTGCTCTTTCTGCACGAAAGCCTTCAGGACGCCATCGGCCCTCCGCCGACATCAGCAACTGCACAAGGAAGGCAAGCCGTACATCTGCAACATCTGCGGGAAAGCTTTTGCCTACAGGTACAACCTCACCCACCATCGGGAAATACACGTCGAAGGGCAGATTTACAAGTGCTCTTTCTGCTGGAAAGCCTTCCGAACCAGTTACTCCCTCAGCCGGCACAAGCGCATCCACACCGAGACCAGGTCCTATCAATGCCCTACTTGCAGGAAAGCCTTTGGAACAAAATATTCCCTTTGGCGGCATCAGGAGATGCACGTGAAAGAGGATCCGGATAGCTTGCTTGGCGGGAATGAGACCGGGGATGACTTAGTCAAAGATCAAGCGAGTGGTAGCGACGACAGCGTGGACAAACAGGTGGCCCATTCGGTCCACGCTCAGCGCCAGGAGGTCCTCCAGGAACGAAAACCTCCGGAAGGCTCTGAGAATACGAGCTGCTCGCTCCTCCCCGATCATCAAAGCAGCCGTGTAGAAGAAAGTGCTATTAAACAGTCAGACAGTCAGACTTTCAGGAGTGTTGGATTGGGGGTTAAAGGTCAAGACAGGCCTATAAAAGTAGAGCCCCAGCAGTGGACCAATGGTTCGGCGTACCCAGGACAGGGAATCCAAACGGAGGAAGGTCCCCTGGGGTCCCCTGAAAATGGGGACACCTCCTTAGGCCACTCGGGAAACCGTGCCATTAAAGACCCAGCTGATTGGTGTTTCCTGGGTAAATTGCCCGGGGTTGGTCCACAAGGGATGGTGGTCCCGCAGGAAAAGAAATATAGCTGCCCTAATTGTGGGAAGTCCTTTAGAGATAAATATTCCCTGACAAGACATCAGAAAGTCCACTTTCCCGAGAGGCCCTATCCGTGTCCAAGGTGTGAGAAAAGTTTCCGCACTACTAAAGACCTGGAGAAACATCAGGTGACCCATTCGGATCAGAGGCCTCACCAGTGTGGCGAATGTGGGAAATACTTTAAGACGAAATGCTCGCTCGATAAGCATCAGAAGACCCACAAAGGGGAAAAGCCATTCTGTTGCTCTTATTGCGGCCGAAGGGTGACCACCAGCACCATCCTTCGGTACCATCAGAGAACCCACACCGGGGAGAGGCCGTATAAATGTGCCGTGTGCGATAAAAGTTACGTCAGCAAGTGGTCCCTTAAAAAACATTTGGAGTTGCATTACAAAAAGAATCCGACAAAGGACCTTCAGGAAGCAAATCCTCTCGACCAGAAATGTTAAGGTGTCTTTGTCACTTGTGGGTGAAGAAAACGGGGACAAGGGTTTTGGAGGTCTTTTGGAACAGGTCTGGGTTGAAACATCCACCTTTAAGATTCCCAGGTTCTTTCTATACCCAGTGACTATAGCTACCTCAGAAACAGATTTTTGAATGTACTCTGCCTTTCCAATCTCGAATCATTCAGATAACTTCACTCCAAAAATGAACATCCATGCCACAAAGAGCCTGTAATAAAGAGGCTCCGTTTATTTTGAACGAGTGGACTTGGCTGAGAACTTGGATGCTGGAAAAAGTGATAAAGAGCATCCATGGTCCTACAGTTTGGAGTGATGGCAACGATAAATGCGAGCTGTCTTACGTTTCTTAACATTGTTTTCACATTGTAAAAAGCAGATAACTTTGTGTTGAAATAATTTCTCTTCTGCAGTGTACGTATATAAAGAAAGAAAAAAAAAGACACAGGACAATTATTTTAAGAAGTGTGGGTGAGAAGGTTATATAGTCTTGTTTTTCATAATGAAAATACTACTGGTTTGTGCAGTGAATGAAAAACGGATGAAATACATGTTGTTTTTCCAATGCACTTTGCATCGCCAAGAAGACATTCAAGGGTCAAATGTATTCTAAATCTTCCAAATATTAGGAATTCGCGTTTTGGGATCTGTAGTCAATAATACAAAACAGTTTTCTGTACGTTTTAGAACATGTTTTAAATTGAAAGCCATTGTTTTGCCGTTGGTAAAAGTAATTCAGAAGTTCATTGACACCCTCTGTCTCTTGCCTCCTAGTACCACTGCCACGTTACACTGTATAGGGAAGAAGGAATCTCAAGTTTTTGGAGCTGCAAGGAAGATGCAGGCCTTGAGATCTGTTACTATGCTTTCTTGGTTGCAAGTAGAAGTTTTGCAGACAAACATGAAAAGTTAACTTCCTTGGACGATGTCCCTACCATTATCAGTTATGCTTGCTTGAGGTGATAGGAGCTGTGAAGATTTGAAGCCCCAAGAAGTGGGAAGTCACAGTGTTATACCAAATACCGAAATGCAAAAAGCAGAATTCTCTTATTAATTTTTTTTTTTAAATAAAGTGGAAAATCCCAGTGGTAACGGTGAATAAGAAATGCTGAGTATAAAGTCAGAAAAGTTTGGATTTTTTTTTTAAAATAATATGTAAGGACCCTAAAATAATAGATTGTATGAAGTCTGTTTAAATGAAAACTTTGTCAGTCGGGAATCTTGCATGGACGTTTTATTATGACTAGCTGTTTTTTTGGGAGCATTGCAATTTGCTACAGGTTATCAAGTAAAGCGTGAGTTGCATCATTTCCAGTGTCAGTTCATTATAAAATGTTTGTTTTCTGCAGCCGTTTTCTGGATTTTGTTTGGGGTGAGGTGGGTAATTAGAGTCAATAAGCTGGGTTTCATTGAAATGTTAGCATATTCACACCAGCAGAAAAGTATCTTTTCCATGTGCTGTCGTCACTCAACTAGAGCTGAAGAAAAAAGTGCCTGCAAAAAGGTGATTTGTTTTCACTGGCAATCCAGAGGCAGCTGCATTTCTAGCTGAAATAATGGAAGAATTAAGAGGGGCATACAGTTAGTCCTTGACTTACAACAGTTCATTGAGTGACCATTCAAAGTTACAATGGCACTGAAAGAAGTGACATGCCCGTTTTTCACACAACCGTTGCAGCATCCCCGTGGACACGTGATTTATGGTCGATGCTTGACAGCGGATTCATATTTATGGCGGTTGCAAGGTTCTGAGGTCATGTGATCGCCTTTTGTGAACTTCTGACGAGCAAAGTCAGTGGGGAAGCCAGATTCACTTAACAACGATATTGCTAATTTAACAACTGCAGTGATTCACTTAATAAATGTGGCAAGAGAAAAATTGTACAATGGGACAAAACTCACTTATCAAATTTCCCACTTAGCAATATAAATTTTGGGCTCAGTTGTCACATGTTGAGGACTACCTGTACTGTATTGCAGTGTTTCTCAACTTTTAAAATGCATGGACTTTTAACTCCCAGAATTCCCCAAGCAGCCCACTGGCTGGTATGGAATTCTGGGAGTTGAAGTCGACGCATCTTAAAATTCTGAGCCAATCGAGGTTCACACTGAGTTTTCTCCAGAGCTGTAACTGTAACAATACTTAGGTAGTTTGAATGTAGCTTATCACTTCAGATCAGTTTTTTTTCAAACTTGGCAAGTTTAGGATATGTAGGCTTCAACGCTGCATTATTCCCCAGCCTGCATGGTGACATGAGGTATCGTGTCAAGGATTGGGTGGAAATAAGATTCTGATTTTCTCTGCAACACAGAATTGAGTTTGGTTTGTGTGGAGGAGCATGTGCCCTGTTGTGGGATTCAGTATTGTCGTACAGCACCTGGACTGGAATTTCATCTGTTTTGGGTAAGCATTAACTAGTGAACGCAACCCATGCTGTCTGGGGCCAGGAAATCTCACCCTGTTTCTGCCTTATTTTGGTCATCCTAATTTCATTAGCCAGGTGAGTTGATTCTGTTTGGAAATTACACCTGAAGGGCACCATGCTGGGAAGGATAAGATTTGGGTGGTCCTCTTTCCATTTTGCATTGGAAAATCCTGCAGGAGTCCAGGAAATTATCCTGCAGATAAATGCAGAAGCTAGCTTTTTTATTTTATTTTTGCACATTTCAAAAACATCTTTTTTAGTGAACAGCATGATTCCAGGTTTTCACATTTTCATACAGACATGACCTTGGTTACATATTCATTCACATTTAATTTCATATCCTATCATTATATATTTTCTATAAATTTTCTCAAATATTTTTCTCAAACTTATATATTTTCTAATTTCTTGACCTATTTTAACTTTAAATCTTACATCTTCATGTTCTTTATACTTTTGTCTGTCAGGTTTGTAATTTCATCGCATATTCTTATTTCATTTCAAAAGTTCCATCCCAATTCAAGCAATTCAAAAAATTTCCCCCACAATGAGTGTACCAACCCTTTTTCCTTCATTTAATTAACTCTTTTAATTCCCAATAATTTGACTTTAATGATCACCTTAAAAATTAATAATCTAGCAACTATGTAACATGAATTTTAGGCCAGATTCTTCATGTCCATAGTGCTGTCCTTGACCCTTAAAATCCCCCCAATTTTCTTAGCCAACTTATTAACCTGAAACAGCAAAGTCCACATTTTGGACAGATAGGACTGCTGGTTTGAAGGGGGTTAAAGAAGCCACCTATGTCAAAATTGAACAGCCCTCTCTACAGAGGGGGATGGATATGACCTCTCCATTGTACAACACAGTCCTTCCAGCAGTTCCCAGAAGTCTCCACACCAATTTGCACCACTTGGGTGACCCCCAGGATCCAGATAAACCTCCAGGTGGCCTTAATGTCTTGCTAAAAGAATGCAAATGACCAGCTGTCTGCAAGGAATATAAATCCTTCCATTCCCCACCATCCAGTCAGAGCTGAAGAAGCTTCTTGTATGAGAAGCAAAACATCTACAAAGAAAAACCAGAAATTCCAGTTGCCTCTTGAAAAAAAAGCACCTTTGAGATTGTTACCCTAGATTTACCCTTCCCTCACTGATGTACTACGGGTCTACAAGTAGGCAACTTACAACCATTTAGTGACAGTTTGAAATTACAATGGCATTGCAAAAAGTGACCCCTTTCCACACTTACGGCCATTGTAATATCGCCATGGTCCCATAATCCAAAACTTCAGGTTCTTGGCAACTGGCATTTATGACAGTTGCATTGTCCCAGAGTCACCATTTGTAACCATCCCAACTGTGACAAAAAAAGATCATAAAATGGGGCAAAACTCACTTAACTGCCTTGCTTAGGAACAAAAAATTTGGCCTCAATTGTGGTCGTAAGTCGAGGACTACCGGTCCAAGCCATGTTGGTTGCCAGTCTAGGAAATGTCACTTCAAACTACCTGCAGGACATTAAGGCAATCTATTTCAAAGCTTTTAAGGGAAGAGGGACAAACCTGGTAGCAAAGGGGGTGCAGTTAGTGAGTAAAAGTGTGGTTTCAGTGGGAAGTATTTTTCCCTTTATTTATTCCTTATGCTAAGCCTATTTTGAGGTTTATCTGCGGCTCTTTAAATCAGTTACAAAGTGATAACGCATTAATATTTTAACCAGTTAAACCAGTGTTTCCCAATAAGTCATTTTAAGAAGTATGGACTTCAACTCCCAGAATACCTCAGCTGGGGTATTCTGGGAATTGAGGTTCACACATCTTAAAATGGCTGAGGTTAGAAAACACTTGAGTTAAAGGAACTGCTGCTTCCGATTGGTCAGCCCTGATGTGGAGGGTCACATGATGGCCACAACCATGTGATTAAAGCCCTACCTCAGGGGTGTCCAACCTTGGCAACTTTAAGGCTTGTGGACTTCAGCTCCCAGAATTCCTCAGCCAGCTTTGCTGGCTGAGGAATTC